CTAGTGCTCTGCCTGTCCTCCTGGCTGAGATCGTTATTGTTGTGACGGTGCTCGCCCTCACTGTGGCCGTCCAGGTCATGCGATACTCGCCCTGGTTCCATATTATACCGGTCTTCTCCTTTGTTACCATTCTCCTCTCCTCTTGGGTATGTTCAACTATGAAACGCCGTCCTTTTTCTTCTATGCATATACAGTAAATGTGCTATCACATGAAATGGTAACCGAAAGTCTGGAATGCGTTCTCAATCCGAAAAGATTAATTAAGTAGGGTTGCCGTGTTAATTACCATGTCGCATAATATCGAGTTATCCTAGTTACGTCGGGATCCTGGCTTTCGAACGAGCTGGTTATCGGCCGCCTGCGTAAACAACATTCCGTAAAAATGACCGCTTAAGTGGCATGGATTTTGCCATTGATTTCCGATTCCCTTATAAATTGAAATATATATTCTAGAAAAAAATTCACAAAATATTCCTTTTTTGCTCATTTTGTAGCTAATTACGTCTCCTTCGGATTTCATGCTTGAAGAAAGAGTTTTTTTGACTTCAAAATGTTTATGGTTAGGAAATTTTTCAGGAGCGTGAAATGTCCGACTGTAACCGCAACAAATCAGCCCGTTTGTTAATGCTGCATAGAAACGGAAAAACTTGATCCACATTAAATACGAGATATTATGAGCTCAGTGTGCCCTCTTCATAGTAACATCTGGAACTGTATGATTTTCCCTACACGGAAAGCATACAGCTTCTAGTTTGGAAACCCTGAATGCAAGGGTAACAGCAAGTGGGGTGCAAATTCATTCAGGAATTAAGGAAGTTTCTCAAACCGAAAGATAATATTTATTGAAGTATAAGACCAGAGGAATGCGAAATTTTCTACCTAATGAGTAAAAAATAAGTTATTTTATGCATCTTTTCTATAGAATATATTTGAATTTCCAAGGGCATCAGAAATCGGTGATAAAAATTCATGGTACTTAAGTAGCCATTATATACAGAACGTATTTCATGCAAAGGGTCGATCAGAAGCTCATTCAAATGCCAGCATCCTGACGTGAATGAAATATTTTAACATTATGCAACACTATAATTAGCATGATAACCCTCTTTAAGTAATCTTTTCGAATTTAGAACACATTTCACCCACACTGAGGCGACCCAGTGATGAGCTTCGGTTCCATAAAGCTGTTGAACCTTCGTTCAAACCTCACCACTGGATTCTCGGCTGGATATAAGCGCGCGCGTTCGATTTTTTTGGTCCCATGCGCTTGCCTAAGAGTATGCTAGTTCGGGCGTCGTTGTCGACGATATACACCGCGTGTTTCAGTGCAAAGTACCAGCAGGGACGATGATTTACAGGATTTTAGCCGGCAGCAAAAACGGATCAGCAAGCAGAGAGAATTACACTAGTCAATGGGTAACCATGCACGCGACCTGTATATGCAGCGGGAGCGCAAGCACATCTGCCGGCTGGGAACCTGAGAGTTACTAGTGCTCTGAGGGTCATGGCTTGCGGAATCATCACTTAGCAGACGCACACAATCCTTAAGGCCCAGGAGTATAGTTCACTGAGAAAGGACAGGAATGGGCCATAAATTACAATTGTCCCGATCGATTTTTGTCTTCTCACTAACCCGCCATCACCTATTCAAACCCCTTAATCAAAATGCCTCTCCATTCGGTTTACGTCAGTTCTATTCAGAGCCCTAGCGCAACAATCTATTCAGGCTTTATTTATCATCAGTGTTTACTGAGATGCACCAAGCCCTGTAGCTCGATATCTGAGGTACTGGCATTCCCCTCCCACCCTCCTTACGAGTTCTCCTAATCTGAAAGCCCTTTTAGTGCCATCCACTTGATGTTCTTCTCTCTCTCAACTCAGATCTACCGGACTGTCCAACTGAAACGATTGTTCCCGCCGATTCAGTGGCTCCTACTCAGCTTTCTACCGTCCGTACTTCTCTCCTTGATTGCTGTTTCAATATTCCTCTCTCCCCAAATGAAATCCAATTACACGCATATGCACAGTCTCTGGCATATTCTGATCGCTTTCGCTCTCCTTGGTGCCTTGCCATGGCCGATGCGATGGCGGAGGGCCCTGTTACCAGTAATACCGCTCTCAACGGTCCTCTCCTGTGGCGGCAACCAACGCACGCTTAGTAGTACTCGTCGACGAGTGTCTTCCCCGAATGACCTACTGGACGCCGCCTCAGGCAGTCCCATGAGTCCCAACAGTCTTCTGGACACCGGCACCGTAAAGTCCACTCTAGCACGTATCTACGCCCAACTGACCAGGGTCTTCTCAGTTTTGTCCTCCGTCAAGTCGAGAGTGGAGACTAGACTCGACAAGCTGCTCGAGCTGAACTTCCTCCTTGACCCTCTCGTAGCTCGATTCCCAAAACTCAGGGTTATACTTCCACACGGTAATTCGCATTGTCTTATTTGGACTTTTGTATGTTCAGTTTGCGCAAAGTCCGTACTTCGTGCCCAGACGTCCAGTGTTTTTTGTGCCAGTCAGCACAAGGAAGTATACAGATGTTATTCAAATGTGTTGGGCGCATACCTCAAACAGCATCGCTGCGTTGTCGCAGGGTTTTGTACCCGTTACTATGGCGTGGCGCAACGTAGCACTCATTGCATAATTAATGACTATATGGTTAGCAGACGGAGTGAAGGTATAGGTCTGCAATTTCAGCGCCTAATTATGATTGATGCATAATCTGGTATCAGAGGTCAGCCTGTTAGGCTTTGAATGACAACGCAATCATTCGCTTCGCATCCAGGGTAGGGACGCGCGACCTTCCTTACCAGCTTCAGCCTACGCTCGGTAACTTTTACAGTGATGGAACATTCCAGAATTGTGTGGTTAGAACTTGTTTACTGTAACTGTACATATTTGCACAGGAATCTGCGAATGTCGTTCAGCTCCTAACCTGATTTCTAAAATTACTGTTCTACTGTTATATGACGGGCTTATTTCGGTGTAGTTTATTTTAATCTGGCGCTTCATACCTGGAAGGTTCCGACTCGCTGAACATCCGCAGCTTAGTTGAATGCAATCTGGAGTGCTTTGAAAAAAAACTTACTGTGTTTAGCAGTTTTTTGGTCCGGTTAATACCAGAAATTGTTCTGCATGAATTTCGTATTGTCTTGTGTCGGACGATCTCTCCGAGTAAAGCGGACTTAGTAAAATCGGCAGTATATGGTGATGCTCTCCAAACCTCCTATCTTGTGAAAACACAATTAAGGCCTACTGTTAGTCTACTTGTGGGCTACTCCACATTCGATGCTCAATTGGACGGCCGTCAGTGAAGACTAGTTGCGAATTAGAAATCCTCTGGTCTGACTTGTAAGTAGTTTGGAACCATGCCGCGGTTGTACCCCCATGTGTAGAGGGGCACCTACTCAAGAATTCAATAAGTTTTTATCCACTCGTGAAGGAGACACGATCGCTGGGACAAGAGCTCTATTCGCCCGACATTTTGGACTCCTGCCCGAACTCATCATCAGAGACAATAGCAGACAGGGGTAGTTCATGCACAAGGGGCAGCAGTATTTATAGGATGCAGTCGCCATGCGATCGCATACCTATGTAAATTCACGGCTCTCTCCCTCATCTGGGATTATTGTACTTGGCGTGATGACTGTTCGATGGCCGACATTCGCGTCGTTAATTGCTGCGATTTCATCACGGGTGTTGAATGTTGGTGTAGTTTTGGTGTAGCTGCTAGTGTCTCTGATGCCGGGTTCGAACAGATATCCTAAACTTCAGGCAAATATAGTCCTTGCCAATAGAAGCGAAGAGCCGAGTCCCAGGAAGTAGTCTTGAAGAAGGAGACACGATCGCCGGGACAAGAGCTTTATTAGCCTGACGTTTCGGATTCCTACTCGAATCCATCATCAGAGACAAAAGAGCAGAAACGGGTGGTTGTTGCACAAGGGGCTGCGGTATTTATAGGATGCAGTAGCCATGCTACCGCATACCTATGAACCTTCACGGCTCCCCCCTTCATCCGGGATTTTCACACTTGGTGTGATCATTGCTTGATGGCCGACATTCAAGTCGACAATTGCTGAAATTTCATCACGTGCGTTGGATGTTGGCGTGATGATTGCTCGACCATCTGACGCGTTGACCCGGGTGTTGGGAAGAGTGTTCACCAGTGCGCTCCCCCTGTGGCCAATTACTCCGCCTAGACGAAGTCTCAGCACGCTGTATTGAATGGGAAGATCGTTGCACTTGTTGATGGACTGGGGGCCAGTAAACCATGATTCCAGTAGCTCCCGGCTCACTCGGTTGTCGCCTCTTGCGAGAATTTCGGCCTCTTCGAATTTAAATGTGTGGCCGGATCTCGTCGAATGAGCTGCAACTTGAGAGCTGGCGTCATTTCTGCGCACCGCTGCCGCGTGTTCGGCCATTCTCGTTCGGAGCTGTCTTCCAGTTTCTCCGACGTAGTTGCTTTGTCCGCAACTGCACCAGATCCGATAAACGACTCCAGACGTTTCTAGCCGTGGCAGTGGGTCTTTCGGTTTCATGATCAGACGCCTGATGGTTGCCTCCGGTCTGTGTGCTACTCCAACCCCAAGTGGTGCGAGAAGGCGGCCGACAGCTTCCGAAACGTTCTTGACATACGGAAGTGCTCGCCAAGAGTTGGTGTCCGTGCGGTTAGGCCTTTCGTCCCTTTTGCGTATGCACCGGTCGACGAAGTTGCGCGGGTAGCCATTGGCTTTGAAGACCCGTCGGAGGTATTGTAGTTCAGCAATTTTGTCTTTCGGCTCACTGCAGTGCGTTTCGACACGCCGATAGAGCGTCCTTACGCAACTGCGTTTGTGGCTGATTGGGTGGTTACTGTTGAAGTTCAGTACTTGCATCGTATTTGTCGCTTTCCTGAACACTTTGGTCGCCCTTGCTCCAACGATCGCGTCTTCTTCTTCTTCCTCTTCACGACTTCTTCCTGGGAGTCGTCTCTGCTTCTACTGGTTTTATCCCCTATCCCCTATTCAACATAATCCGGTAGCTGTAAGCTGTAACGTAGAGAAGGATGCAGACATCCACCTTCGAATCTAAAATCTGAACCAAATCATCCTCCAATCAAGCTGCCCATTTAAACGCTGACAGGATATCCATGACTTGACCAGATGCTTGGATGACAGTAGGCTTGCGGTCCGCGCG